GATTCTTGAAATAAGAAAAAATTGAGTCAAATCAAGTATTTCAGGAATCTTACCAAGTAAAATTTTCTTACTCCATTGGCAGATTTGAGTCAAATTTTCAGGCGAACAAGACAAATAATCTGACACATTCTGAAACTAAGATTATTATTCTTACACAATCAGTTCTTGTTTAGTAAATCAGTCTCAAAACAAGATCAAAAAGACTTTTTGGCTGATATAAGATTTTAAAACTTGGTAAGATGGACAGTTTTTGCAGTGAATCTTTGACCTAAACAAAAAAAAAAATCAAATTTTGACCATAATTCAACATTGAATTAACATCTTTTGCTATCTGGGTATGGAATATTGATGCAAACTCCATCCTAATCCTTCTGTAAATGTGAAATTTTCTATTTTTACTTCATGTAAAAAGTCATTTTGTCATGATAGGATCATCTTTGTTTAAAACCGAGGCAGCAGATAAAATAAATTTTTCATTTTAAGCCTTTAATAAAAACAGTTAATGTGAAACTGATGCTACTTCTTTTTCAGCCAATCATGAATTGAACCACATCTATTAACAGTGAGATCAGAGCTGATTAACATTTATTTGACTTCATTTGTATAATAAAGCTTTAATTTGCTCTGTCTGATCTTTATCCATGATTTAAAATAGCTTAAGCAGTACCTTTTTAACAGGTTTCCTCTTTTCTTTCCTCTGGTTTTCAAAAATTCTCATGTTATTTCAAATGGCACTTGTTCAAACTCGTAGAGTGAAATGTTAATAAATTATTACCAGTCTTTTGTGGAGTTAGTGGGTTTGTAATGTTAGTGTTTTTTACTTGGGTCATCTGTGTAAAATAAAAACCCTCTTATCTTATTTAAATGTTACAAATGTAGTGTTGTCTTTTTACTCCTGCTGCTGACGGTGAGAGGTGATCATGTTATTTGCCCATGTCTGTGTGTGTGTGTGTGTGTGTGTGTGTGTGTGTGTGTGTGTGTGTTTGCTAACAGATAAATACTTCATGAACCTATGGAAACTTAAAGTATTCTGAACTTGTGGAACGAACCACTTTCAAAATGTCTGCCACAGCTTTTTTATTATGATTCTGAAGCTGGGGTCTTATTGTTTTTGTACAGTTTATTATTTTTTTTCAGTGATTTTCAGTCATATGCTACCGCTTTGTTTTTCAGTTAAGGCAGTACAGTGAACAATGTAGAAAATAGGAAATAGTACAAAATGACTGATCTAACAGATACAGTAAAAAATAAAAATATAAAAATAAATAAAAAAGGTCTAGTTTTTATATATTGTTACATAAAGTTAATAAATTTTGCAGCAGATTTACATTTGATGTCATTTCAGCCTTTTAAAAATGTAAATATTTACTAAAATAAAAAGAAAATAAGGGCTTGATTTTCAAAATTTACATGTGTGAATATACAATTTGGCCAAGATCAGGTATTATATGAGTTCTCTTTCACTGACAGAAATATTCCACATTTTACATCCTTATATGTTATAATATAATACGTACTTATGTACCAAATTCCAAAATGCACTTATGAATGCATGTTTTTATGGAAATACAGACAATAAATAAATGTTTCACCATTTTTAGTTCATACAGAGCCTGTAATGTTAATGTTTGACAACAAGGTATTATCTCATGGCCATGAGTTCATCATTGCAGTTATTTCCATGCAGAGACTGCACTGTAAGAAAAAATACACCATTTCTACTTCATTTAGCAGCACTACGGCTCAGTGGTTAGCACCGACGCCCCACAGCAAGAAGGTCCTGGGTTTGATTCCCGGTTCAGACCTGGGGTTTTTCTGTGTACAGTTTGCATGTTCTCCTCGTGCTTGTGTGGGTTTTCTCCAGGTACTCCGGTTTCCCCCACCCCCCCCAAAAAACATGTACAATAGGTTGCCTTCAGGCCCAGGCCTCACTTCAAAAAGAAATCTGAGATCTCAGTGGGATTTGCCTAGATAAATAACAATAAATAAATAAAAATGAGGCAACAAATTACAAGCAATATTATTAATTAAATTTTACAATGTTTAGAGTTGAGTTGAAACGTAGAAAATTGCAAAATTTCTTTCAATAAGGGAAACCTACAAAACACTTTAAAATTTTGGGATCTAGATTAATTTACACATCCATTTCCAGCAAAAAATCTGACTATTTGTTTAATTAAAGTATTCAATGCTTAGTTTATTGTTGAGCAGGTAAAGGAAAAATATTCTTGGTCCTCAAGTCCTTCTGACTTTATG